TATAAGTCTACCCACCGCAGTCAAGTTACGATCCGTGTTATAAGTCTACCCACCACAGTCAAGTTACGATCCGCGTTATAAGTCTACCCACCGCAGTCAAGTTACGATCCGTGTTATAAGTCTACCCACCGCAGTCAAGTTACGATCCGTGTTATAAGTCTACCCACCGCAGTCAAGTTACGATCCGTGTTATAAGTCTACTCACCACAGTCAAGTTACGATCCGTGTTATAAGTCTACCCACCGCAGTCCAAGTTACCATCCGTGTTAGCAGCTATAGCTCGGACACCTTGCGTGACGTTGCCGCTGTCGTCTGCTTCGTTTAGGCGGCTCGTGCCACGTTGAAGACCTGGTCTGACCTCTACACGACCTTGGTGCGGTGCGCCGCCCTGGTGGCGACGACGACGCCCAACCAGTGCTGCGAGGACCTGTGTGTGTCGATCGCCGGCATGGCAACCCCACAGAAGCTGCAGGTTCGTGTTTGCTCTTCGTCACGGCGACGGAAGCCTATTGGATTAGATCAGTTCGTAGCATGTTCGATCATTACAGTGGTGTGCTGGTGAAATAGGGACCACATCTCTTCTCTGTTTAGTGACGGCAAGGAGTTTGTAAGCTCGTGTTATCACTTCTCTAATATACAATCATAATTCAATAAATAATAACACTAATAATGGTATTAATAGTAGCAATAATGTCGATTGATAATAATAATTATCCACTCATGAACAATCGATCCCACCTTCCCATCAGGCTTTATTAAGCTTTCAGCTTTCTGTCACAGCATTCTCATAGGGTTTGTTCTAATTTTTTTTTTTCATTTATTTGCTAATATTATTATTATGTTTTCATCATTCTTCTTTACTTATGAGAACGTGAACTGGGCGGACATCGTTGCCAACCTACTGCAAGTGATGGTGGGCTGTGTCAGCTTCGGAACATTTTCGAGTGCTACGGGTAAGACAAAAAAACACTTCTTATCGGGACACTAGAGCAACGGTTGCCCGCCAGTCATGGCGTATGATAAATACAACTTTGCAGGTTGACATTAGGTATGACCGCTTCCAGATGATAGGTGACTGATTGTACGTGCGTGAATTCGGCACAAGTTTGTAGTGTCTCGGCAAAGCGACGGCATTTCACAAATTTATGTGCGGTCTGGTGACAAAGTCTTTTGCTGTAGACGTTTCCCGTTTTTATATACACCTGCTTCTAATTCAATTCAATTCAATTTAATTCAAATTACTTTATTTACACTTATAATGTACCTTATAACTTACACCTAATAAATGTACATTCACACACATGTGGGTGTTACCCTACAGTGACCAAATGGCTGTTAGTTATTCCGATGTGTTTTGGTTCGTGCAGGTGGCGCCGGTGTGAGTCCGGTAAAGTGGGGCAAGCGCAGGCAGCGGCCTCTAGGGAATCTCACCCACCTGGTGGACCTCATCACTCGTCTGCTGGATGCTGTCGTTGCCATGGAGACGGAGGTAATTTCACGAGCAGATGCTGCGTCTGGCTCTCGCATCTCGCGCGAACGTCGACACGTGTTTCAATGTTCTTTTGTTTCATCTTGACGACCATCGACACGTCTTTCAACGTTCTTTTGTTTCAGCTCGACGGCGAGGAGCGCGCCGCGTCGTCGTCTGTCCTCGCGAGCTTCGTCGCCATGGTTACGACTATCGTCGAGCACATCGGCAACCCGCCGGCCGTCGCCGCACTGCTCGAGAAGCTGGCGCCACCTCTTGGCCGGATTCTGAAGCAGTCTAGCGAGAAGCGTGAGCCGACATTATATACAGCAGCTGTGAAGGACAAGGTAGCGCTACCTCATGCTCTACTCATCACTAATTACATGTATTTATATCTCTAATGTTAATTTAATAATCTAATATCTCTAATGTTTTTTCTAATATTGGTAAAATCTCTATAACCATTCATCACATCGTGTCTAAGCTGAAATGGAAAGAGCGCTAGTTCAACAATTACGCCCATAGTTGGTGCATCTGGCGAAACATGACGTGCGAGAAAACGCAATGTACAAGCAACGAATCTCCTGTATCACTAGTCAGTCAGCTATACGTGAACAAGACGAGAGCTACTACACATGAACGATTGGTGAATTCCTGCTTCGACAGATGGTGTAACAGTGATTTCGCGTGTAACCGCCCCATTATCTCCTGTCTACATTGTCATGTTCCAACGTCCGGAAGAGAAATGGCCGAAATTCACAGTAGTTTTCCTGCGTTCGCGATAATTCCGTCTCTCGATGATTGACAGATCGACCGGCTGTGGTCGGAGCTGGGCCGACGCGTAGAGGGAGGTCACAGCGGTGCCTGTGACTCTTCGCTGCTGCTCTCTCTCGCTCCCGCGCTGGAACCCGCCCTCCTTCACCCGCGCAGGAAGCTACGCAACCAGGCGGCAGCACTGTCGAACGCGACCTTCGGGAAGGCCGGTCGCCTGGAGTATCCGGACACGCTGAGGTGAGTCGGCAACCGGGCGGCTCGTGCGTCGTCGCGAAACTCTCGTTCGTCTGTTGTTGATTGTTGGTGTCGATGACGCCGACATATACGTCCCGTAATAGATTTGTTTGAAGGGATTTTTTTAGATGGATTTTGTTACGGGAACAACAGCATGTCGTTGCTTGAGTGCTTTGCATGCTTTCGTGAAGCGCTTGTATCACAACTCTCATGATTGGTTAGAGGTGCCTGTGAATGGTGCCTTGTTCAGACCTGCCAACTGTTACGTATTGCCCGTAATTTGTTACGGACGCGAGTCAAAATTACGGTGTTACGGACGACCTCGAAAAATTACGGACAGCAAGAAATCT